AAAAAAAAATTAAATTTTAAAAAAAAAAAAAAAAAAAAAAAATATATATATATATATATATAATATGGTATAATTTATCGGATAAATAATTAATATACAGTCTCATTTCCTAATTTTTATATATAGATTATCTACACATAGATATAATAACATGTAATTATTAATTGATTCAATTGAAAAATATTAATGTCCCATCGTTGAGCATTAGTCCACATTGATATTATATTTTTCTTTTATTTTTAATTATTTGTATTTGAATTAAATACACTAGTGGAATTTTTTGTCTATGTTTTTATTTTTTTTAATAAGAATATTTACAAAGAGTTTATTCTCAAAAGTTTCTTACAAACTTTAAAGTAAACACAAGTAAAGCATTGGAAAAAGTTTATTGCAAGGTGAAACCATTTTTTTCCATGTATTTTTCTTTAAAAGTAATCTTATTTTTTTATCAATAAAAAAAATGTTATTCAAGACAACATTAATAGTTATAGTGAAAATTTAAACCTTGGATCACAACCTAGTCATTTTTGTTAATCTAATCTCCATTGGTCGAAACCAAATTCTCATTAAATATTTCAAATGAAAGTTCCACACTTGTAAAATGCATATTCATCATATCGTGTTCATGTGAAAGCATTAGAAAATATAAAAACAGATTTTTGAGGGTTAGTTTTTAATCCTCAAATGGCAAATAATTACCTAATCTTTCACTGGCGGGTTTCACAAACATATTAAATCTTTTAACCCAAACACAAGTAAAGCATTTTAAAAATAATTAATAGTGAAACTAATTCATCATTGAATCTGTTAGATGAAAAATGAAAGTTTCATGTATGAGTTCATCACATTAATATTTCAAAGGAAAATTTAGTTCAAAAAAAAAAAAAAAATCAAAAGACGTGTATATATTTCAAGCACGCCTCATATATATTTTTTCCAACGGGTATTCCGTAATCTACGAGAAATTATCATGCAGTCTAATACCATGTACTTTCTAACCAGTATTTATATAACGTGTCAACAAATCTCATATAATGATTAGTTGAGATAATAAATATTTATTTTCAGAATTATAATATTTTTTTTCTTCTAATTAGAGATTAATTTTTCTTACTTGTTGTCGGGGTCGACTCGAGTCCAAAACAAATTTTGAAGTTTGACCTTTTTAAAAAAAAAAAATTAAATTTTTTAAAAAAAAAAAAAAAAAAAAAATATATATATATATATATATAATATGGTATAATTTATCGGATAAATAATTAATATACAGTCTCATTTCCTAATTTTTATATATAGATTATCTACACATAGATATAATAACATGTAATTATTAATTGATTCAATTGAAAAATATTAATGTCCCATCGTTGAGCATTAGTCCACATTGATATTATATTTTTCTTTTATTTTTAATTATTTGTATTTGAATTAAATACACTAGTGGAATTTTTTGTCTATGTTTTTATTTTTTTTAATAAGAATATTTACAAAGAGTTTATTCTCAAAAGTTTCTTACAAACTTTAAAGTAAACACAAGTAAAGCATTGGAAAAAGTTTATTGCAAGGTGAAACCATTTTTTTCCATGTATTTTTCTTTAAAAGTAATCTTATTTTTTTATCAATAAAAAAAATGTTATTCAAGACAACATTAATAGTTATAGTGAAAATTTAAACCTTGGATCACAACCTAGTCATTTTTGTTAATCTAATCTCCATTGGTCGAAACCAAATTCTCATTAAATATTTCAAATGAAAGTTCCACACTTGTAAAATGCATATTCATCATATCGTGTTCATGTGAAAGCATTAGAAAATATAAAAACAGATTTTTGAGGGTTAGTTTTTAATCCTCAAATGGCAAATAATTACCTAATCTTTCACTGGCGGGGTTCACAAACATATTAAATCTTTTAACCCAAACACAAGTAAAGCATTTTAAAAATAATTAATAGTGAAACTAATTCATCATTGAATCTGTTAGATGAAAAATGAAAGTTTCATGTATGAGTTCATCACATTAATATTTCAAAGGAAAATTTAGTTCAAAAAAAAAAAAAAAATCAAAAGACGTGTATATATTTCAAGCACGCCTCATATATATTTTTTCCAACGGGTATTCCGTAATCTACGAGAAATTATCATGCAGTCTAATACCATGTACTTTCTAACCAGTATTTATATAACGTGTCAACAAATCTCATATAATGATTAGTTGAGATAATAAATATTTATTTTCAGAATTATAATATTTTTTTTCTTCTAATTAGAGATTAATTTTTCTTACTTGTTGTCGGGGTCGACTCGAGTCCAAAACAAATTTTGAAGTTTGACCTTTTTAAAATCAATAACAATAATTTATTTTAATTTTATTTAAAATTTATTTTTTGAGTCTTTTGAGATGCAAGGAGAGAAAATGAAGAATATAACAAGTTTAGTCGATAACGTTCATAATTTGGGACTTAATTTAGTGGGAGAAGAAAAATTAATAGAAAAATGAGAACGTTCATAATTTGAGACTTAAATTAATGGGAGAAGAAGAATTAATAAGAAAGTGAGAAGGTTCATAATTTGGGGCTTAATTTAGCGGAGAGAAGAATTATAACAATCACCTATAAACAAGGAACTTTCAGAAAAAATTATAATACTAGGGTCAAACCCCAATCCTTACAATGTTAGGTTTAGACATTGACCAACAAACCAAAGTTGATATTGATACAATTAATTCATTAAGTTCTATAAGTAGAAAAAATATTTTGAGAGTCTATTTTACACAGGACCGCGAGATAAAAAGGAAAAACAAAGTGGACATTAGTGGCAATCCTAGGGCTCTAAGGAGGTTAAGAACTGCATGTGAGAGGGCAAAAAGGACACTCTCTTCTGCTGTTACCACCAAAGTTGATGTTGATGCTATATTTCAAGGCATAGACTTCAACTCTTCAATCAGTCGTGTTAGGTTTGAGGAAATTAACATGGAGCTGTTTGAAGAGTGCATTGAGACAGTAGAGAAGTGTCTTACTGATGCTAAGATGGACAAAAGCAGTGTGCATGATGTTGTCCTTGTTGGTGGCTCTTCTAGAATTCCCAAAGTGCAGCAGTTATTGCAGGCTTTCTTCAATGGTAAAGATTTGTGCAAGAGTATTAACCCTGATGAGGCTGTTGCTTATGGCGCAGCTGTGAAAGCTGCATTGTTGAGTAAATGCTTTAAGAATGTTCCTGATTTGGTATTATTAGATGTCACACCGCTGTCTCTCGGTGTATCGGTCAAAGGAGATCTTATGAGTGTTGTGGTTCCTAGGAATACTTCCATTCCTCGAAAGATGAAACAAGAATTTAGAACATCCGTTGATAACCAATCTTTGGCCAGGATTATGGTTTACGAGGGTGAGAGAACAAGAGCAAGTGATAACAATTTGCTGGGGTCTTTTGTTCTTTCTGGTTTTCCTCCTGCTCCTCGTGGGCATCCTTTATATGTGAGCTTTTCCATCGATGAAAATGGTATATTATCTGTTTCTGCTGAGGAAAAGACCACTGTCAATAAGAACGAAATTACTATCATCAATGATAATAAAGACAGGTTGTCGGCCAAAGAAATTGAAAGAATGATACAAGAAGCAAAGTTTTATGAGGCCGAAGATAGAGAGTTCCTTAAGAAAGCCAATACTAAGTATGATTTGGATGATTGTGTATACAGAAGCAGGAATGTCTTGA